GAGTCGAAGAGGGCGAAGAGCACGCGCGGGCGCTGGATGGGCCGCGCCAGCCCCGCTTACGCGCCGCGCGCGCGGTCCCTTTTGCACCCGCTTGGCCTGGGACGGCACGGGGGGAGGAAGAGGAGGAATATGAGGAAGAGGCGGGTGAGGAGGTACAGTGTACAGGACGAGGCTGAGAACGAGGAGGAACGTAGGAGGCGGAGGGGGAGGATGAGGAACGGTAGTACATGCCAGGCAGATCGGGAAACCAGTTGTGTCGAATGCCGGAGCTAGTGAATGGACAACGTTGCCGTTCGAATGTCTAAACGAGGTATTTTTCATGCGCCTGGCCCCTTACTCCGGCAGCGTTTGGGAGTTTGCGCCAGAGTCAGACCCACGTCCAACTGAGCCTCTCTGCCTCCACCTGCATTTGTTTTTCTTCGTGCTCCTGTTTCCTCCAGGCCCCCCCCGAAGCTCCGGGGCCTCCAGATAACCTTCCGACAAAGGCCAGACCTTCAGAGACCTCGATAATCGATCAACATCCTCGACAGATTTTCGATCGATCTTCGATCGATCGATCGATCCTCCTGTTCCTGCTCCTCCCGCTGCGGCCAGGCGGGAGGCACTGAGGCATCCGCCGGGGGCCGCGCCGTGCGCGTGCGCCGAAGGCCGCGCGCAGGTGCGAGCTGCGAGCAGGGGGTGAGGAGGAGGAGGAGGAGGAGGAGGAGGAGGAGGAGGAGGAGGAGGAGGAGGAGGAGGAGGAGGAGAGGAGGAGGAGGAGGAGGAGGAGGAGGGAGGAGGAGGACGAGGGGGAGGAGGGAGAGGGGAGGGGAGGAGGAGGAGGAGGAGGAGGGAGGAGGGAGGAGGAGGAGGAGGTGGGGAGGAGGAGAGGAGGAGGAGGAGGAGGAGGAGGAGGAGGAGGAGGCGGAGGCGGAGGAGGAGGAGGAGGAGGAGGGGGAGGGGGGAGATGGAGGAGGACGAGAGGAGGAGGAGGAAAATTAATAGTAGAGGAGGTGGAGGAGGAGGATGAGGACGAGGAGGAGGAGGAGACGACGAGGGGGAGGGAGACGGAGGAGAGGAGGCGGAGGCGGAGGAGGAGGAGGAGGAGGAGGAAAATCAATAGGGACGAGGAAGAGGAGGAGGAGGAGGAGGAGGAGGAGGATCAGGAGGAGGAGGATGGGGAGGAGGAGAAGGAGGAGGAGGAGGAGGAGGAGGAGGAGGAGGAGGAGGTTGAGGCGGAGGAGGAGGAGGAGGGGGAGGTTGAGGCGGAGGAGGAGGAGGAGGAGGAGGAGGGTGGATGTGGAGGAGGAGGACGGGAAGGAACAGAGCATGAGGTGGCCCTTCGGAGCGCGCGCCCCCGCCGCCGCCGGAGCTCCCGTGTGCGCCGCGGCGGCGGCGCCAGAAAATGGCCCCCTTCCGCCGCTCCGCGCGTCCCCCCACCGGCATCCGCCTGCTGGCGCCATCAGGGCACTCAGGCCGTGGCGCTCTTTCGGGGCGCGCCAGCCGCGCGCGCGCGCGCGTGGGCATCGGTTCCCCCCCCATCGAGCAGTGGCGGGGCGTCTGGCTTGCCTATTGGCCCGTCAAAGAATGTTCTAAGAACCTCTTGTGGTTTGCTCGAGAAGTTCTCCGAGCATTTCTGGCGATGGCCGTCTGGCTTTCTCCTGGGTTCACGTTCTTAGATTTTATTTGTTATCGCATGTTGTGGTAGGCCTACAGGAATGCCGGGATGATCGGTCCCTGCTCAACTCTCTCGGACGCTCCAAATCGTTACCTAACAAATCGGATTATGTCCAACAACAAGTGTTGTCCCAAGCCGGCAACGGCCACTGTTGGGCAGGCGACTTGCTGGATCAAGATGATAGCTCCCTCGGCGACACTGACAAGCGAGTCCTTGTCTGAATGGACAGACCCTGCTGTGCTTCTTCGTCCCCATTCTTTCCGTGCCCATGTCGGTCGTCACGACTCCCCCAAACCTCGTCTTCGGCTGTTGTTTCTTCCTTCGGTTGTTTGTCGGGGGCCCCCGGGCGGCGTGGTGACGACACCGCGTGGTGAGTCAGCGGGGAGTCGGGGTCACCACGCGGTTTTGGGACTCGGGCCGTTCTCCGAGGACGTGTCGAGCGATTGGGGCCTCCGAAATCTCAAAATCCTGCGGCGAAGGACCGAGCGGTGAGGTCGTTGGGGATTCCGAGGTCACCTCGCGGTCCGTCACCACAATGTGTGGGGGCCCCCAAGGGGGCGACAAATGAGCGAAAGCAGAATCACGGGGTCGACTGCGCGTAGAAGTTTGCCGCGTATGGTTTCGTGCCATCGCCCCCGTCTCCACACGGTGAGCCACGTTGGCGGCCCGCGTCAGCCACCGCCTAAGGTCGCCATGCTGCCGTGCGTCAGGCCCGTTTACGTTCGTCGCTGGCGCCTCGAAGGGGCAGTGGAGCCATGTTGCCGTGCGTCAGGCCCGTTTACGTTCGTCGCTGGCGCCTCGAAGGGGCAGTGGATGGGGCACCCGTGCCTTCCCCGCCCCCGGCTGTCTGCCCCCCCCTTGTAGCCTCGAGCAGAAGCCCGACTCTGTCGCTCTGCCGCTCCCCCTGCCTGCGGCCTGGGTCGCGCCCGCCGGCTTGCGCTCGCATGCCCCCCAGGGGGCAGGCTCAAGGGGGCACAGAGGCTCAGGGGGGAGGTGGAGGAGGGCGAGGAGGAGGAGGAGGAGGAGGAGGAGGAGGGGGAGGAGGGGGAGGAGGAGGAGGAGGAGGAGGAGGAGGAGGAGGAGGAGGAGGGGGGGAGGAGGAGCAGGAGGAGGAGGAGGAGGAGGAGGAGGAGGAGGAGGAGGAGGAGCAGGAGGAGGGGAGGAGGAGAGGAGGGGGAGGGGAGGAGGAGGAGGGGGAGGAGGAGATGGAGGAGGAGGGGGAGGAGGGGGATGCGTCGACCCCCAAGCGCCCACTGATCGCCGACAGGGGCCCCCACACGTGGCCCCCCATCGGGGCCTAAGGGACGGGGGTCAGTGCAAAGGTCGGGCCGGGCGAAAGGGGGGGATTGGGAAAGGGGGGGTTACGAAATTTGCTGCATGCAGCTGGTTTCGGCCTCGCCGAGGGGCCCATTCCTCGATACATGGGCGCCTACCGCCGCCGTGAGGCGCCGGGAAAATCAGCTACGTGAGCTGATTCTCAAACCCCCCCTTTGCTATCCCCCCCTTTCGCCCGACCCGAAAAGGGGGGGGGGCACCGAATCCTGCAGGATCCTGCGAAGGCCTCCTCTGGCTGACCCGGGTTGGCGAGCCGCTCGCGGCCACGAGGCGGCCGCGCGTATTGGCCGACCCGGGTTTGCGAAGACCTGCGCTGCAGTTTCTTTTTTCCCTGCATCGCAGGTTTTTGGTTTCCTGCTGACCCGGGTCTGGATTGACCCGGGTCAGCAGATCCCCGACCCCAGGTAAAACAGGGCCAGGATCGGGACACATCGCTCCAGAGCGTTCCGGAGCGCTCTCAGAGCGTTCCGGAACGCTCTGGAGCGGCCGCGGCGCCCAACACATCCTCCAAACCCGCCGATTCTCAGAGATGTCGAGTTATCCCGATCCGATTTCGTCCCGATCTTCGCGTCGTTTTACCAGGGGCAGGGTCAAGGGGGCACAGAGGCTCAGGGGGGGATGCCTCGGCCCCCAAGCGCCCCCCCTTTGATCGCCGACAGGAGCCCCACACGCGGCCCCGATCCCCGCCCAGGACCGGGCGGATTTGTGCTCAGGGGCCTCTCGGCGATGCGTCGCCGATTCTTCGGCACGCACGAGATGGGGACGGAAAGAATTCAGGAGGGGAAAAAACACACAGACACAATTCATCGGCGATTTCCCAGAAAATATGGGAAAACATGGGAAGTGGGGGGGAAGACGGAAACCCAGAAAATATGGGACATATGGGGAATCCTTTTATTTGTGTGTATTTATTTGTGTGTCCCAGGGCCCCTTGAACGAGATGGGGACGGAAAGAATGGATACAGTTCCCAACAGCGGATCCTGTCCATTTTGAGCAGGACTCGCTGTCCACGCCTGCCGCGCCCTGCGTCCACTCGAGACAGGATGCCGCCTGCCCAACAGCGGCCGCTGTTGGTTTGGGACAACATTTGTTGTTGGGCATTGTGCCCATTCTTTCCGTGCCCATCTCGGGCGTCCAAAAAAATTGAGCTCCGGGAAATTGACCTTGTTTTCCGGCCCGCTTACTATTTGGTGCGTTGAGTTTTCTTCCGGGGATTTGTCTTTTTGTTCCGGGAAGACCGTTGTAGCGATAAGTCGGGCTTGTCCCTCTACAGGAGGAATAATCCAAAATAATCGAAAAAATGTCAAGGGACGATTATTCAGTATTCTTTAGCATTGTACCCACTTTTTCTGTGCCCATTTCGGGCGTCCAAGATTCTGAGTCTGTGCTTCCCCTTCGGCCTGTGCACTCCGATCGTTGCCCCTCAGACCCGGATGGCGCCGGCGTCCGCCAGCAGACGTTTCTCACGATCCCATTTTGGAGCCATCTTGGACGTTTCAACGCGTCGTGGGGCCCCACTGAACCCCAGAACGGGTGGGGGCATCGGGGAGGCGGGAACGCCAGAAAGCTATATCGCTCAGTCGCACCCGCCTTCCCACCGCATACAGTGCAGGCTCATGCCAAGAAGCACCCTGCTTGCCTCCAGGGTGCCCTTGGTTTGTTTGGTTTCGATGGGTTTGCGAAGGCGGCGAGACGTTCCCACACCAAAACTTGATGGACATCCTGGGGTCTCAGGGTTGGGTTTCTTGTGGAAGATTTCTGGTGGTCGAGCCCCAACTGTGAGTAGCACCCGACATTCTGCAAAGGCAGAAGCCGCCATCGGACAGACATCTATGGGGAACCCATCCGTGCGCCAGGTGCACAAAGCGTTCGCGAGGCCCGCAGCGCGTGCCAAGTGCGCCTCGCGCAGGGGTGCCCCAGGGACCCTCGCGTGCCAGGCGCGCCTTGCGTGCCGGATTTTAGTCGGGCCTGTCCCTCTACAGGGCGAATATTCGAACATAGTTTGAACAATAATATGGGGATGCTTTTTCTAGCATAGACATACTATTTCTAGACTGTTTTGAATCTTCGTCCAGAACCCCCCTGTAGGAGGACATGCCCGGCCTCACCCTAGCGTGCCAGGCGCGCTTTGTGTGCCAGATGCGTTGAGCTCCACGTGCCCCACGTGCGCCAAGCGTGCCATGTGCTGCAGCCGCGCCAATGCGCGAAGCGCGCAGAGTGTATCAGAAGCGCCAGTGCACATGACCGCACACATCGGGCAGTGTGTGGACAGCACCACCATGCAATAGACAAACATAGGCTACTGCAAAATATCGGCGGGGTGGCCAGCACTGTGTGCAGGGCCTTTTCACCCTCAGTCAGTTTTGTTGATGTTGTTTTGTGTGGAGGGGTGGCGGCGGGGTTGGCCACAAAACCCGTACTGGCGACGGGCCGGTTCCGGCTCGATGCCTCTTGCCACTGCCCGATGTTGCCAGAAGAGCCTCTGGCCCGTTGTGCCCGCAGGAATCTTTGGCTGGGTAGTCGAAGGCCAGACTGTCAGACTGGATTGGGCCCCAAGGGCCAATCTGGCCCGGCCAAACTGGAGGATTGGGGTTATTCGCCAGACTGGATTCGCGTTGGCTCCCTCGTCAGATTGCCCCCGTTTGCCAGATTGGGCCTGCCAGATTGGCGCCAGATTGGCTTCGACTA